AAAAAAAAAAAAAAAAAATTCCTCTTGAATCTCCTACAAGCTGCTCATATCCACAGGCCCCAAACTAAACTCATTGTCTTCCCCTCAAACCTCTTCTTCCTTTTCCTGCCTCATCTTGGGGAACCTTACTTCATTCCTTCCTCCCCAACCCTTGCACCTGAACCTGTGGTGACCAACTTCCTATCCTCTGTGTCCCCCTCCTTGTATTCCCACAGCCACTGTCCTAGTTTGAATCTTATTAATTCTCACCCACTACGGCTTCTTTCTTTAAAAAATGTATTTGGTACAAGGTCTTACTTTGCAGCTTGGACTCATAGTGACCCTCTTGTTTTCAGCCTCTCCAGAGCTGGGATTACAAGCGTGTGACATCAGCCCAGGTCTCAGTGGCCAGCTCAGGGTGGGGCCAGCACGGCATGTGGTGCTAGGGATCGAACCCCAGTCCCTGCACTTGTGCAAGCAGGCACTTAGTCCTCTGAGCTATCTTGCCTGCCCTCCACTGTGGCTTCTTAACTGATCTTCCTACCTCAATTCATTCTCTACACATTCTGCAGAATGAACTTATTGAAACATAAATTTGATAATACTGCTGCTCTGTTTAAAAGCACTCAGAGGCTCCTAAATTCTTAGAAATGGAATCCTAATTCTTGGACACTACCTTTCATATCTGAAAACTTCCCAGATCAGACTCTCGACCACCTCCGCAGCCACTTCCAGCCCTGTTCCCTCTGCTCTCACTCTACTGACCAAATGTCCTTATGAGATTTAATGTTCTTTCAGGTCTCTCTGGGTGCATACGCCATTCTCCTCATCAGAAATGCTGACACTCCTATCCTGCTCTGCCTCGATGACTCCTCTCATGGGTAATAATTCAGCTCAGCTCCCCCATTTCACAAAATGGCTTCCCTAACTCCTCACATTCTGGATGCTTGTAGACCCTTCTCTCAGCTGTCCAGCAGCCTGCACAGGCTTCTGCCACTGTCGTCCTTATGCAGGGTTTGTAATTGTTTTGTCTTTCTTTTCTGTCTCCTGCTAGACACTAAGTTCTTGAGAACAGTAATGGTGCCTCCGTGAGATCATCCTGCATCAGTGCACAAAGAGCTGCTTTATGTTTTGCTTACAGGGACTCAGTTTTCCATTGTGGATGTATCATAATTTTACCAATGACTATTAGGTTGTTTCCAATCCTTTTTTTTTTGTTGGTACTGGGGGATTGAACTCAAGACTTTGTGCTTGTCAGGCAGGCGCTTATGCCACTGAGCTATCTCCCCAGCTCCAATCCTTTTTGAATAAAAAATGATTGCATCTTAATGTGCCTTCATGAAAACATCATTTCACATGTGTGAATGTTCTAGAAGGAACTCCTAGAAGGGGAGCTGCCAAGTTTGGCTGTGTGCTATTGCCCTTTGGGAATTTGTGGATGTTTTTTTATCTCTCCATTCCTAGCCACTGTTACAGGTCCTAGAATAGAGCAGGAATTTGGTGTCTTTTTATTAAATAAATAAATGAAAAAACTAGCTTAAAAAAACAGGAATACAAACTGAGGACCTTGTGCATGCCAAGGTGCTTGTGCCACTGAGCCATATTCTGGTGCAAAGATAGCTCTTTAATGAAGGTTCCTTCTATTTTCTTTGTCTGACATCTGATTAGGTAAGTTTCTTCACATCCCGGTTAACCCCAATGAATCAGATTCAAACCACATTTTATTATTATTTTGGAGCTAAGTTCTTATTCCAACTTATTAGTGGAAAAAGGTCATATTCATTTGTATTTTCTAACCGTAATGACTTTGAGTCCTCATCCCACATTTTGTGAGCTCACCTAAATTTTTACTAGATCTATCTTTCCTGCCCTCTAGTAATTCCTAGAAAGACTTATACAGTCAATAAATTCTTTCAGGGGGTTTCCTGTTGATTTTACAAATCACCAGACCTATGCTTCTTCTGGATTATTTATTAGTTGTATAACTTCTCTATGCCTCTTTATTCATCCATAAAATAGGAGATATTATAGGGTTGTAAGGATTTAATGACATAATAGATGTAAAGTGCTTGGAGTAGAGTTTGGCTAACAGTAATGTTTCAGGACCAAGAATAGAGGTTTTTTAAAACTGCTTTGTACTGGGGTATTTTCTCGGGGTTGTAGGCTGTGTTTATAGTAAGCAACCTTGAGAGATGAAATATCTCCCTTTAGAGCAGAGAAAAGGTTTTCTTACTGCTGCCTATAAAATGGCAACCTCCCCATGCTCAATGTTCCTTTAGTGATGTAAATCCACTAAATAACATTCACCTGAGATCTTTATTTCATTCACATGGTGCGTAGTAGGCAAGAGGAACTGACACAAATATGCTGATGCTCATGTTGCTTTCTACATTGCAAATAATAGTCCTTTGTCTCTGACCAGGAAGCTTAGGTTTTCTACAGTATCCATGAAACAGTATTAGACTAAATTTTTACTTATCATTAGGATAGACTTGAACGCCAGACCTGAGTAGTAATTGCTTAAGCTAGAGTATTTTAATTATGTTTGCTCTCGCCCTTTCTTTCTTCTTTTTCTTTTCTTTTCTTTTCTTTTTTCGCGGAACTGGGGATTGAACTCAGGCCGTTGAGCTTGCCAGGGAAGCACTTATTCCACTGAGCTATCTCCCCGGCCCCCTCACCCTTTCTTCTTGCCTTTACAGATAATCAAAAAACATTCATTGGTGCCACATGCCAAGAATTCAAATAAAAGTAAATTCATGATTGCTTAATTGAAATCATTGGGGCCGAGGAGATGGCTCAGTAGAATAAGCGCTTGCCTGGCCAAGTACAAGGGCCTGAATTCAATCCCTAGTTCCGCAAAAAAAAAAAAAAAAATGAAATCACTTGACCACTGAGACTGTAGTTTCTGCTCTACATATCCTTTTTGTATAGCTGAGGCATACTTCTTATGTAGATGCAATACATGAAAAGAAAGTTGCACAAAAATAACTGGGCTTTAGTTCCTGTTACTTAATAGCTGTGTGACTTTGGCCACTATAAGATTCGATTTCCTAATATTTGAAATAAGGAAACTCATTTGTGATCCAGTTGTTTCTGAGGGTTGTCGAGACCATGGAATAAAATGAACATACAAAACCAGGTGTGGTGGCAGAGATCTGCGAAAAGGCTAAGCCAGAAGGATCAAGCCTAGTCTGGACAACCTAGCAATTTAGTGAGAGCTTGCTTCAAAACAAAGAGAAGCACAGAGAGAGAGTTACCTAGGTTCAATCCACGCAAGAACACACAAGTTACCGAGAAAATTTAAGACTGTGTTGATCCACAGGCATCAACTGACCCTAACGTTGTGTTTGTGTATGTGTGTGCACAAACGCTTGTGCCAGAGTTTGAACCCAGAGCCTTGTGCATGCAATGAACAGAGTACAACTCTGAGCAGCACCCCTAGCCAACATTATGAAATTAAAGTGGAGAGGAAATTTGCACTGTGCCAATAAGGGGAACCTCTTGCTAAACTCTGTGCTGCGATAGAAACTCACCCACCGGCCTACTAGCTAAACATCAATTCCCAGCATGCCTCGCTCCTGAACGCATCATAGGGCCCTACCACACAGGAACTACAACTCCCGGGAGGCCTCTCGGCGCCGAACCATCCGCTTTTCCCCGCCCCCGGCTTCCCCCACCCCCACCCCGTTAGAGGCACCGTGGCCGGCTCGGTCCCGCGGCCGGCTGAGCGGGCACGCGCGCCGGGGGTCGCGCGGCTGCCTAAGAGGGCGAGTGCGCGCCGGGAGGGAGTGGAGGCGTAGGGGGGCGGGGGTAGGGCTCGCCTGCTCGCAAGATGGCGGACGAGGACGGGGAAGGGATTCACCCCTCAGCCCCTCACAGGAACGGAGGCGGTGGCGGCGGTGGGGGGTCTGGGCTCCACTGCGCCGGGAACGGCGGAGGCGGCGGCCCGCGGGTCGTGCGCATCGTCAAGTCAGAGTCCGGCTACGGCTTCAACGTGCGGGGCCAAGTGAGCGAGGGCGGGCAGCTGCGGAGCATCAACGGGGAGCTGTATGCGCCGCTGCAGCATGTGAGCGCCGTGCTGCCCGGGGGGGCGGCCGATCGGGCCGGGGTGCGCAAGGGGGACCGCATCCTGGAGGTGTGAGTATCGGGGCCACCCGCCGCCCCACCCTCCCCGAGCCCCTCCGCCTGTCCCTGCATTTGCCCTCCACCCCTGTCACCCGCAGGCCGCACCTCCCCCACCCTCCACCGGCCCTCGGGACCCCGACCCCCTTCAGGCCCCAGCTGCCCCGCACCTCCTGTGGGTTGTCCCCCTCCCACGGTTCCCGCGACTCCCACCTCCCTCCTTGTCTCCAGTGTAAGTCCTTGTGTGCGTTTACCCCTGCCCACATGCCTCTAGCTGTTTTCTGCCCCTTTGCCTTCTCCTTTCATAACGCAGTTTCCTGCTCTCACTGCCCCTCGCTTGCCTAATGAATGTCTGTACCTTATTGACGGCACCTCCTTTTCTGATCCGGCCAGTGGCGGGTCCTCCCCAAGTTCTCGGCTTTAGCGTCGTAGTTTCCTGTTCTCCGCCACTCCCCTCAGTCCCTGTGGACTGTCCCTTCTGCCCTTTAAACCAAGTAAGCAGAACCCCGGGTCTGCTTCCAGTTTTCCCCTGGAAACACATCCCTCCCCATTCCACTCCTTTTTCTTTCCTTGGATGTCTTTTCCTTATCGTTAAGCAGCCCCTGTATTTTCCCATTCTCCTGCTTGTCCTTTCCTCTTCTCCTGTAGTCATACACTGAAGAGTACACCTTCCTTTCTGATCCTTGCTTACCTTCTGCAGGGAGGGCTTGGCGCTAGTTTGCCTTCTCCCTAATCTGGTATTACACCCTGACATTGAATTTAGTGTTTCCTTCCCTATATCCCTCCGAGTGTAGCCTGGCCGCAGTCTTCACTCAAACACCATACTTAAATACTTCTTTTTGGAGTCAGGTTCATAGTGGAGCTCTCCGAGCTCCTACTTCCGCCAGAGTACAACCTCTTGTGGGTCTTTGACCTCTACACTTTTTAGGACATGCCCAGCTACATTTTCTCTCCTCTGCGCTCTGTGAGCCAATACTTCACTTTAGCTTATTGTTTTTCTCCTGTGGGCAGCTTTCCTTTTCTGCTGCAACCCACCCTCTTGCTGCTGCAGTATCTCCCCCTGACATTGAATTTAGTGTTTCCTTCCCTATATCCCTCCGAGTGCTTCGTACTTCTTACTGCCCCACCGCATTCCTGAGGGCTTGTAGGATGTTGCCTTGTCTTGCAGTTTCTAGGTAGCCCTCTTCCGCTACCTTAATATGGTGTTACATTTATACTTTGTATTAAAATTCATACAGTGGTTGACTGATAGGTGGTGTTACTGGCATTGTCTTAATTCTTAGCAGTCTTCACTTCTGTATTTCTTTCCTTACTGAATCTGTAGTGTATATTCTTTTTCCCCACATTTTTGTTCTTGCCCATGAGAAGTCTTTCTCCTTTTTAAAACATTTTATTTCCTTTGTAATTTCCACAACCACAATTTTCCCTCTTGTAAAACTCTAGATTCATGTAAAATTTTCCAAGGGAATGCTATCTTAAAATTTGGTCTTACAGAATTTCCTCTACCTTTTGCTCCTTAATCTTTCATCTTTGAGAGTCCTATCCTGTAGTATCCACTCATTGTTTCCTCTTTGTATACATCAAGAAATAGTAACTCACTTTTAGAGATTTTGTACCTCTCTTCTGTCCTTTCTGTAATAGATGCTTACTGTTCTCCTTATATCCTTTTTTTTTTTTTGCGGTACTGGGGATTGAACTCAGGCCCTTGCATTTGCCAGGCAAGCACTTATTCTACTGAGCCATCTTCCTGGCCCCTCTCCTTATATCCTACATACTGTTTTCTTTTATCCTCTGACAATATGTTCTTAGTTTTTTGGGCGGCAGGACATTTAGGTATAGAATACAGTGAAGACTTATGTTTGATGTTTTGTTTTGTACCAAGGCACCTTTTTTGTTTTTCATAGATAACTCAATGTGTAGCTAATATTTTATTCCGATAGAAGCTCTTGGAATTGTCATTTTTCTTTCCTTTTGGAAGTTAACTTTTGATCTAGCTATTTATTATTAGACTTAAATTATTTAGAATTACACATTTTTAATGTGCCAAGCAATTTATATTTTATAGGCTCTAACAGAACTAAACCAAAATAACTAATTCTGTGGGAAACTACAGCTAGTCACTTGATGGCTCCTTTCCTTTATGGCATTTTGACAGCCAAGCCCCGATGTAAACTAGGTCCTATATTGGAGATCTCAGACGATCTCCTAGGCCAGGAAGAAGGACTTGCCTCAGGCCCAGGTTCCAGGTTAGGAACCTGGGAAGACTTGCTTATAGACATTGCTTTTTGACACTTCTTAGTGGTGAATGGGAAACTTTGTATTTTTGAGAGGTTATCATCAGCTATGTTTATTGGTACAACATATGATAGATCACATTAGCTGTATAATTATTTACTTCAGTTTTACTTTAGGAAAATAATGCTCTGCCTAGGTGATCTCTCTCTTGAAGGCTGTGGTAATTAGAAATCTTCCTGGCATTAGTTACTCACCCTTTTAGGTGTGTGTATTTTGGTTTGAAAATACTTTGAAACCTATCTAGTACTCTAGTGGAAGTTGTGATAGTTACAGCATGAAGCTCAGCCAGCTAGTTGGGAAATTCTCTGAAACCTCAGTTAGGGGGTCCCTCTCCCCTGCCCCTTCCCTTCTTCCCTGCCTGCCTGCATCCTTCTCTCCTCTCTCTCTTCCCTTCTTCCTTTTTCTGTGGTGCTGAGGATTGGATCTAGGATTTTGCACATTCTGGGCAAGTGCTTTACTATGAAGCTGCACCCCAGCAGAAAATACTATTCTTTCTGTTATTACTACTTGTTTTGATCTGATCTGATCTGATACTGATTTTCCCAAAGCATCCTTTAGGTAACACTTCTTAGAGCTTTTCTTTGTCTTTCGCTCAAGTTCTCCCTGTTGTCCCAGTAAAACTTTCCTTGCCGCTGAAGTGCCAAGTGGGGTCAGAACTATGGATAGGTGCATTATCCTTGTGTAGATGTATCGTTTGTATCAAGTCATAGGTGGATCTCTGAACCTTGATAATTGCTATTCAAGACATGTATTTTAGACCCTTTTCCTCTATTTAAAATAGTTTTTTTTCTAGTTTTTATATATCATAGTTGCTTGGATGACTCCAAGGTGTGAAAGAGCAGAATAACTTTGAGATTAAGGGCTTATAAGCTTGCACGCAAGAGCATCAATTTGTTTTTCTAAGAGCCTGTTACCAAGCCCATCCTTACCAAATCTTGGAACAATCATTAAACTACATGCAAACTGGTGTAGTTTTGTTTGTCTTTTCTTTCTCTAAAAATGACTAGATTGTAAGAGGCTTAGAAGAGAGTCACATTGCAGGGCTTGGTACTGCAGTATGAGAAGCCCTCTGGGCTCTAAATTTTACTGTCGATGGAAAGTTTTCTCTCTTTTTTTCCAAATTATTAATTAATTAATTAATTAATTTGTGTGTATGGCCAGCTCAGCCCACCAGGGGGCGGGGCTGGCTGGCATGTGGTGCGGGGGGATTGAACCACGGTCCATGTGCGTTGCTAAGCTTGTTCTAAGTAGGTGCTTTAGACCACTGAGCCATCTCACCAGCCCCTGGAAAGTTTTTTTGACTGGCATTGTTCATCTCCACCTTACAGTTTTTCCCAGCGTAATATGCACTGACTGTCTTTTCCCTGATGTGTATGTACCTGGAGGCTAATAGGTGAAGGATGCTTTCAACAAATAAAACTAAAATACATGTATTTGGACTAATTATATAGTATAGAAATTAACTGGCATTAAGTTAAATTTTTTAAGCTGAAAGTAGAGACAAAGTCTTGATTTGTAGTGCAGGCTGGCCTTGAACTCACTATGTAGCCCAGGCTGGCCTCAAACTTGCAGCGATTCTCCTGCCCAGCCTTCAGAGTTCTGGGATGACAAGCATGTGCCGCCACAGCTGGTAGTCACAAGGGCTTTTGATTGATTCTTTGAGATTTTTAGTGTGTAGAAGATATGGATTTGTGATTGTAATTTTGAGGTATTAGATTTATCTGTTGGCTATTTCTTTGTCTCTTTGATATTTGGTAGTATGATCTTTGAACATAGTTTCCTAAGGTTGGATTGGAAGCATTCACTGTACTATTTATGCTGGTCAGAGAATATGTGTTTTTCTCCTTGATAGTAATGGGGTAATGTACTTACCAACTTTCCCTTGTTGAACTATAAAATAAAGGATATGTACACAATTGTTTATTGAGAATCAGTTTTAAACTTCATTTTCATAACAGTTTGGCAATAATTGAATACAAAGAGGTTGGTGTCACAAGAAGTATTTTTATAAGTTAATGTGAGTCATATAACATTGACTGCTAAGTACAAGAGCTGCTTTTGTAATTGTATCATTTCTATTTGGTTCAGATTTTCCGGGTAGATTTTGATAATAGTATTTGAAATGGTTGTTGATCAGAGGAATTTTTATGGCAGTGGTTCTCCAGTTTTAGTATATATTACAATCAGTTGCTTGTGCTTGTTAAAAATACAGATTCTCATGCTCACCTTCCAAAAGTAATGATTCAGGAGGTCTTCCCTGAGGTCTATATATCTTTAATTTTTACTTTTTTGCCAGCTTTAGGGAATGCAGCACATGTACTGAGTCACGTATCCAGAGCAATGCTATAGATTATACGCCTATGTTCTTAGTTAACTTTATCATTATGGTTGTACAGTATTGAGAGTCATGAGCTAAGACTATGAAAATGAATAGCAATTTCTTAGGATCCTGAATAGCAGCCTAAGTGAAAAATCAGTTAAGTAATAACTTTTCTATTTGATTATTTATACTTTATTTATTGGATCTTGCGAAGTTCTTGTAATAGAGGTGGAAGGTTAAGAAGTAGAACAAGTAATCAGAATCCTTATGCTCCTGTGCAGTGTGTATGGTGTCAGGGTTTGCAGTGTTTTGCATTTGAATTTCACAAAAGCCCTGTGAGATAGTGAAATTATAAGTGCCTTTGTAGGCAGGGATGACATCAAATACTATACATATTTGT